GTGACTCGGTGTCATGTTCCCAAAAGGCTTCTCCTAGACTTCCTGTGGGTGTGTGGGGACCTATAGAGTACAGTAATAAGAGCGGGACTGATACTTTTGCTTTCAGCCTGCTCGGCAGGATTTACCATTTACCATTGCTAAATGTGTTGTCCAGTCACATACCTTGTTTGTTGTAATGCATGAAAAATAAGGTGGCTTTATTATGCTTGCCAAATTTTAAAAAACCCTCCAAAAAACATTTACCTGAGAAGCTTTGTTTTGCTTGATTAGTCTGACCAACTGTGTCTCCTCCTAACCACAGTCTGAATCCAGCCAGGACTTAAATTTCCTCCTGCACAATTAAAACAAAACAAAACAAAACATTAGTCTGAGCTTTAGCTCTTAGAAGCTAGTATTATGGTTTTCTGAATGTACACATAAATGTCTATGTGAGAGGGGTTATGGGAAACTGGCAGTTTCAGAGAAGAAGCTAAATAGAAGCAGCTAAACTCTGCAGCCTTCAGCACCATTGTATGTTTTATTGGAGCCTCCAATCAAAAGTAAAAAAGATTCAATCACGGCCTGTAACATCCTGGTTTCACAGCTGCTTGATCACGGTGAACAATAACCTCGCTCTGTGGCGTTTTCCCACTTTAGGTCTTTCACATGCTTAAACAATAAAGCTTCAGCCTATAAGGAGCGAGGGTAAATCTTGTCACAAAGGGGGTATCGATTGGTAAAAACAATCTGTCAATGTCTCAGTGAAAAGTAAGTGTGTGTGTGCGTGTGTGTGTGTGTGTGTGCTACAAAATAGGGGAGTGATTGATTTCTAATCTACTTAACTTGACACATTGTGGAGCAATACGTCCGCTCTGCAATTCACAGCCTGTAAGTAATTGAGTTGCGGACACCTGCTGTGGGAATTAACTCAATAAAGTTCTGTTTAAGTTTTGAACAGACTTGATCTTTTCTTTGTCCAAATCTCATATAATTTGACAAACTGGCTAACTCTATTATTTCTCCATTTGTCTTTCAGATATTTCCAGGATTGCCTACTACACAGGTAAGTAGCTGACCCACAGTTGCCATAGAAATAGCAATTGGATAACATCAATTTAACCTAAGATATTGCTTTCATGTTGCCTCTTGGTTTTTATTATTATTTACTCAAAGATAACATTTAACATGTGTTATCTGTATTATTTCATTCCCAAAATGTAATGGCAGTGGGAATGTAGGAATGTATTATTGTATGATATGACCATAAAATATATATTATATCATCATATCTTATTTGTATTATCCTATTTGTGGTCTGCACAGTTATTTATTCAGAAAACAGAAACATGGCATCCTATTATAGGCATCCTTGAAGGAAGTGCACAAATATACATCGTCAGACTCTGTGCTTCTGCTAATGAACAGCTGAACTAGTAGCAAGTGCTTATTTGAGCCATGTTTGTGATTGAGTAAGACAATTGAAGAAGACAGAAAACCGAGGGGAACTATTTATCTGTGCGTTTGTGTCGACATGTTGGCCTCGTTAGTGAGCAGGAGTGAGGAAGAGAGTGAGAGGCTGTGTGTCTAATTAGAATATTCACACTGCAGGCTGCACGACTGTGGCCAAAATGATTATCAAGATTATTTTGCTCAGTATTAGTACCCCACTTATTTATGAGTTTATGAGTTTTTGTTGATTTATAGTGACTAAAACATTTTCATTGCACTGTCAACATAAAATTAGTCCTCCTTATTCACCTAAATGTAATGTATTGTGTAGAAAGAAAAAGATTTATAATTTAAAAAACAAAATTAAATCAACAACGCTCTGCTCCCGTTTTTGTATTTGTTGATATTTTTGATAATCGAAACGTCTTATACGTTTCTAATAAAGTATTTATTTACTGGATCTAAGTACATCTCTTATGTTTACGTTTTCCTGAAGTCTCGATTGCTCAGCGTGTTTGTTAGAGGCATCTTTGTGCAGATGCAACTGTGTTCATGATTTCGGTGCGTCTTTGTGAGCTGGATGGATGCACTGCTGCGCTGTACAGATTTTTATGAATATCTGAGTTGACATTGGAAGATTCATGTTGGCAACCACTGCATGTTTTTCTTGGCCTTCATGCATTTGGTATACTGGAGCTAGTGCTGTGTTTTGATTTTGCTGAACAAGTTAAGGTGTTATGCTTTATGGTGTAGGCTCTACGGCGCTCTTTGCATGTGATTTGATCCTAGTTAACATGACTTGTGCTAAATCTAAAGGCAATAATCCGCTTCCACGGACAAACTCTTCACTTTCTGCAGTGCTAGATATTTGTTTAGTTTTGATAGTCTGCTATTTGTTATTCCAGAAAAATAAAAGCTGCGCGGTGCAGGGAACAGCTGCGATTGGCAGATGCATGCATGTCGTCAGGCAAAGATTTAGGGAGCGCTTTATTTGCTTTTCCTTGGTTTGCTTTTGTCGAGTATGTTTGTTTAATTCTGGGAGGCCAAAATCACAAACCAGATTAAAAATCAAATTAATTGTTCGGGCCTACCTGAGGACTTACTGCAGATTAGTGCTGCGTGTCCACAAGCTACACAATTAGCTCTTTGTCTGGCTTTTAATCCCCTCTACTTATCATCTAGACAAATTAATTTATCAGATGATGTTACTTTTTATTTCTGAAAGCACCGACGTTTTTGTAACATGTTCAGAGCTTCCCTCTGGAGCATAGCTTAACAATACTCATGGCCAGGTGTGAGGAAGTAAGAAAAATGAAAAGGAAGAAGAGTTGGTTGGACCGGATGTTTTTAGAATGACACCAGTGTCTTGTGTTTTATTTTAACATATTTCCAAAGTATATTTTTTGGACATTTTATTCATGCTCTAATTTCGGTGTAATCATCTAATTAGTCTAATCATTAAGTCACTTTATTTTGTGTTTGACAGACAGACGTTTGTAGTACTGCCTAATAACTGCTCTACAGATGAATAGGGGGAGCTTAAACATTGTAAAGAGTTAATGAGCTGTGACAAAGTAAAAAGATTGTGTGGAAATTGCAAGCAGAAAATAATTTGTTTTTAATTCATGAGGTAAAAATCTAACATGTTTGAAATTCAAAGCTCTTCACCTTCAAGGCATCGACACAAACACGCTGATTGTTCGCTAATAAAACATCCCCACATCAAAGTGGATAGTGCAGATCTGAGGTTTACCTGCTGCTTTCAAATGTTATTTACATTAAGTAGGTAGTGGGTGCTGTGCTTCCCTCCTGTGCTTAAAAAACATGTTCATAAGCACACAGCACAATATGAACAGAGACTTTGGCTCAGGCCCAAAAAGCTCTTCCCATTCATGGCAACATCCGGCCCCCTGACAAAAGGCTTTCAATAGTCCACACACCCACATCCACACTCTAACCCCCTTTCCCATTTTCATAACAATGGCCTATGCCTGAGATGGGCCGCAAATTATAGGAAACTCACACGTGCACACACACATGCACACCCAAATGGCTGCTCAGTTAAGCAGCTTTAGGACTTAGTGGCGAAATCTTAAGTTTTAAGCTAATTTAAGATTTTGTGAACACTTGTGTGTTTTTAGTATTCAGGCCTGTTTTTGTTCTTCAGGTGAGATGTGTGCACACATAATTAAACATTTTTAAAAAAAGTCCATAATTTGGATGTTTTTGTGCAGCTAAACATTTTCTCCAGTGTTAGTACATTCACCCAGACTTTGCCAGCTGGGTATGTTTTCCAACTTGCTGGCTGTTCTGTAACACAATATTCATGCAGCATAGTCTGTGAGATTGCTCCTTTTAATTCATTGCTCATTTAATTCAAATAATACAAATATTTTCAAAGCCAAGGTAATATTTTGGGCACTGGCTTAGTGCCACATAAGTGACCACGTTTAGTTGAGCACAGCCTTTGTTAACCAGCTGTATCCCTAAGGTATACAGATGCAGTACAAACACGGATACCTGGTAATTAGTGCTATTTACCTAGAGACTAATGAAATGCTTGAATTTCACTCACCAAAACTTTTTGAATGAGCTGTAACTCACATCAGGCCATTGTATTTAGTGGATCATTTAATTACAAATGCTCCAAAACCAGTTGAGAGGTCCAGTTCAGTGACTTGAATTACTTAAGGTGAGGACCAGACCAAAATGGTGTTTTCTACCTGGTTATAAACATTTTTTGGTCTCATGTAGTTTGGCTTTACGGAGGGAGATCTGCGGGGTCCGAATCGCTTTTAGAGCCAGCCTCAAGTGGCTGTTTTTGGCACCTCGACGCTGACTTAGTTTTTCAGCCGAGGTTGCCGCTTGGCTGAACATAGAAATTGAAAGCAACACTTAACAAGCAGCCTGATAGAGCTGGGTATGGGGACACTTTATTAGGGACAGTTGGCAGGGGAGTTCTGTGTGTTTTCTGGCTGAGGGGCTTTTTGTGCAGTGTGGAGTGTGATCTTCTGAAAACCTTGTGATTGAAGTGGGTTGATTTGCCATATTGGGTGCAGCTGCTAGTTTACAAACTGGGAACAGTGTCGGTGGTGGAAGAAGGTTTTTTTTCTCTTTATAAAATAAATAACATATTTGTGTTTTTTGTTGTTTGGCTGTAATGGTGGTTTATAAGAAATAGAGTTCAGGGTGGTGTTGTGGTTGATTGAGCTTGCAAGACCCTGCATGAGTGAGGTCATGTATGCCATTATGAAACGACAGTATGAAAAGGACTTTAAATTCTGTTAATAAAGATATAGTTTTCTTTTTTATTGAATTTAAGTAATATTTATCTCCTCTCTTCAGTAACACATGCATTATGCTTGCAAGGAGGACTTTCAGAGTTGTTCTAAGGGACTGCTCTTTTGAGCAGTGTTAATATTAGTTCAAGATGAGAACTGTTCTGAGGTCAGCTTGAGCTAAAGTGGGAGGGTTTATTGCATAGAGGGGACAGGATTAGCATATTAATAGTTTCTGGCTCCTCCTACCCCTCCAGCTGGAGCGCTCTCATTCCCCACTCAACTTTCTTTCTGTTGCGTTGCTCTGTCCTCTTTTACTTCTCATTCACCTTAAAACATTTGCTGCATTTCTCTCTCTCTTGGCTTTGTTTTTTCTTGGTCAACCTTTTTCTCTTACTTTTGTTTCCAAGAGAAGATCTTTTTTTTTTTCTTACTGAGCACAGTAATTGCCTCTTGGTGTCTGACCACTAGCTAACTGAAGGTCCTCTGGATGCGCACTATTCAGTTGGATTTTTGGCTTTAAACTTTTTGCTCCCTCTCAACAACTCGGGGAACTTCACTGAATGAAATAAGCCGAATTCGAAATCCTCCTGACACTTCCAAGGCAACTGTGTAACTATGGAGTGCAGGCATGGGGCAGAAATCGGGCAAAAAGCAAACAGTGTGTTGTCATCAGAGAGGGGCCGCTGAGGAGTGGACAGGAAAAAAAAGGAGGAGTGAAGTTTGTGGATGAAAGTAACTTTCTGTCTCTGGAGAGGTTTTTTTGTGTGTTGTGGAGCTTTTGGATAACAGGAAAAGATTAAGAGAAGACGCATAAACAAGAAGAAACTTTCCCTGATTTTGTTTTTCTCTTGGATTTTCAAACTGCAGACAAATTGTCAGCAAACTACAAAGTATTCATTTTTCAGGATTGCTTCTATCACCTCTCTATTACTGCAGCTTTTGCCAAGGAGAAGCAAACTTTGTTATGAGAGACTTTTTGTTTTTTCTTCGTCGGAGACGGCGTGCTTGTGTAAATTAGTGTTTGGATTATGAGAGGGTTTTCTTGCAGCTGTGTCAGGAGTGTGTTTGTTTAACTCCTGTGGACGAGAACTTCACTGCATGTGATGCGTGGTTGTGAAGCTGCAGGTTGCCTGTCTGTCCTCGACGCGGACAGGCACAGGGACGGAGAGACATGCGTTTCCATGGCGACAAGTGGCTGTAGCCCCTTCCCCATGTGTTGGGAGAGAGGTATGAATGAAATCTTCTTTCTGCATAGAATCCTCACGCTCACGGTGTGACATCTGACTCCATGGGAACTGCACTAGTGTACAGCCAAAGCTGTGTGTGTGTGTGTGTGAGAGAGAGAGAGATCTTAAGAGAGTTTTAATTTGTTGATGTGAAAGTCATCATCATTTGAGACTGGCAGATTAAGTTGGGATCACATTTTCTTACTGTAATCTATCACTCAACTCTTTCCAGTCTCTCTGTTTTGAGCTATCTCAGTGCGAGTGTGCGCGCGTGCCCGTGTGTGCACGCTCTCTCAGGTGTAATTACCTGCCAGCACATATCCATTTTCCTTTTTAATGGATGGGGAGAGGAGACACACAGGAAGAAAGGGAAGTAGAAAAATGGAGCATGAAAGAGATCTTGCTGTCTTTTCTCGCTTCCATGTTGACAACAGCGTGCGCACACACACTGTTATGTAGAGAAATTAGTTCTTCTCAGGCATTTCCAGATGGAGTTGCAATGAAATTCCAGGAAGTGCGTCTATGTCAGAACTTTTTATTCCGGAAAAATGGTGTCCTGCGATCCATTGTCTTCTCTGTGTTATAGGCACGGGTGCTTACATAATGAGCCTTGACCTTGACTGCACCTCTCTCTTTATTTCTCTCTCTGGTATCTTATTGTTCATTGTATTGTATCTCAGTGAAAAACAACACATGAAGAATAGATACTTGCAGCACACAGTTCGGAACAACGCAAGGGTCTAAGGAGTATGTGAGAACAAACATGCAACAAATGTAGCACATCTGTAGTTCAACAGGAGAGAGAAAGTGAAATGGTAGTGATTCCATTGACTATACAAATTAAAAATTACACATCACTGTCACTTGGTTATGTGTGCAAAGTTTTGACACTGTTACATTTTATTGATAAAATAGTTATTTGTAGCCCTGCTTTGACTCAAAGTGGATTAAATTAAAAGTTACCGTCTATGTGTTTTGACTAGTTCTAAAGTTAGTATTGTTATCTTGAACTGACTGGAGTGAGTACAGGTAGACCTTACTATTACTGGGTTACTTGGTTTGACCCCCTTCAAAACAGCTTAAATTCTTCGTGGCACAAATTCAACAATGTGTTTTAAAATTGTTGCTTCACATTTATTGGCTCTTGTTCCACCACGTCCCAAAGGTGCTCTTTTGGATTTAGATCTGGTGACTGTGGAGGCTGTTTGAGAGCAGTGAACTCACTGTTTGAGATTATTTGAGCTTTGTGGGGTGGTGCTTTAACCTGCTGGAAGTAGCCATCAGAAGGTGGGTGCACTGTGGACATAAAGGGATGGACATGTGTTGTCTAAAGGTGGACATGTGGTGTACTGTGAAACATCCCTCACACCATGACACCATCACCAGACCCAAACATTGATACAAGGCAGTATGGATCCATGCTTTCGTGTTTAAGGCAAATTCTGACTCAGCAGTTGAAATCAGGACTCATCAGAACAGGAAATGCTTTAAAAAAAAAAAAATCTTCTCTTGTACAATTTTGGTGACACTGTGTGAATTAGATCCTCAGTTTCCTGTTCTTATACAGCAGGGTGGCACCAGGTGTGTCGCTGTAGCTCATCTGCTTCAGGCTTCAACATGTGGTTCATCCACCTTGAACATTCTCTTCTGACCTCTGAAATCAACAAGGCATTTTTGAAGGAGCCTAGAGAACTGCTGCTTACTGGATATTGTCTCTTTTTCTCTGTTTCTTGTGTGGGAAAATCAGCAAATCAGGACTTTCAGAGATATTTGAAGCAGCCTGTCCAGGACCAACAATCTTGTCAGATTCAAAGTCACTTAAATAATCTTTCTTCCTCATTCTGAGGCTCATTTTTAACTTCAGCTGGTTGCTTTGACCATGTCTACATGCCTAAATTCATGGGGTTGCTGCAAGTGACTGGCTGATTAGAAATTTGGATTAATAAGCAGTTGAACCGCTGTGCTTAACAAAGTGGTTTGGTTAGTCTACTCAAAATCAGGCTCACACACATTTGTGTTCTTGTACATATTACGCTAATTACTCCACACAAATCTACTGTCATGCAAGTGCCCTTGGTTGGACGAATGAAACTAGACTAAATGTTAGGCCCAGAGAATTATCATTATTCTGTTACAGAAAAAAAAAACTTTGGTTTTGTTTTTGTTTTTTTTAATAGGAATTGATTGTAAAGATATTTTAAAATATTCAACTATCACATGATTTGTTAAGTTTAATAATTAGATTACTTCTTATTTAATTAAAGTCCGTTTTTCTCTCCTCTGTCTCTCAGAATATGACAGACACCTAGCAGCGGCAGTGTCTGCAGGGAAAACCATGGCGTCAGCCTACCTGGACCCCAACCTGAATCACACCCTCCTTGAAGGGGCCAAGTCCCGACTGAGTGCGGGGGGATCGGACCGAACCATGGCCGGCTCCGTGGACAGGGTTCTGAAAGTCTGCCATCACTTTGAGAGCAACACAGAAAATAGCTGCTGGTCTTCCAATATAAGATACGGCGATGCAACCGATGTTAGGGTAAGATGCTTTTTTTGTATAGTGTCACAATATTAGGGACACTTTACCATTAACTGAGATCCACAACATTTATTTATAGTAAGAAGTAGCCTTCACAGCAATAATACTCAGTGCTCATAACTCTCTCAGGTCAAAATGTGACAGTTGTCACCCAGGAGTACTTTTAAATTATTTTTTTTTTTTGTGCCATTTGTCCTCATCTCAACGTCCTAGCTGTCGGCACTGTTAAAACGGGCCCAAACGCACTGACAATATTTTGCTTGCTAATGCATGTCATCTCAGGGCACCATTTATGTGTGCGCGTGCTAGTGTAGGTTTACTTAGCAGGATGCTTTTAGATCCACCGCTGTGACGTAGAAACTACCTAGCTCTGCTCAGATTTTAGTGGTCATACGTCACTGCCGATCTCCTCTGCTCTCCTTTCATCCCTCTCTACTTCAGTATCTAGGTCAGACCCCCCCAGCGTTTTACATGGGAGCACACATGGCTCCGTGAGCATTATTGTGCGTGTGTGTTTGATGTCTGTCAAGTTGTTTGGGTGGGAATGTCGCGTTAAATCTCTTGAAGTCTCCGACACAAACTCACGCAGACATAAACTAAAACATTGATGGTCTCATCCAAAATGTCAGGGAAACATTGGCTGAGTTAATAAAGTAAAGCTTTTTTTTTTTTTTTTTTTTTTTAACCAAAAAGACACAACAAAAAGTTTTGTTTTATTTAAAACATATCAAACTTATACAGGTGTTTTTGGCACCCAGGGACAGCACAGATACATTAGAAAGTGACTGTAATTATGCTTATTTTACCTTCATAGATATGAAGTATTATTTGCACAGTCATCAGTCATTTTATTTCTCTTTTTTCCTCTTTGTCTGCAGGGGATCATCCAGAAGATTTTAGACATCAACAAAGTGCGCTGGACTTCATGTTTTGGCCTGCGGCTCAGTAACGGGCAATCCAAAGACCAAGTGCACTGGCTCCACCCAGATTTGGGCGTGTCCCACGTCAGAGAGAAATATGAACAAGCACGGCCAAATGAAGAGTGGAGGTGCAAGATGAAGCCTGTATTTGTAATGTTGTGATAAGAGCCACTACATCAAATTGCAAGCTAGACTGCTGTTATAAGGGACCATACAGGATTCTCCTATTTTGGATGGGTTACATTGTTTTAATTACTGGGGGATAAACTCAGGTGGGGGAGTTTTAGCATCCCAGGGTCTTACTCACAAGTGAGGGGAAAGTAGAGCAGGAGCCTGAGACAGATTATTGCATCTTTGATAGTGATGCAGATGCTGAGTGTGAAAGTGGCATTTTCACCTCACCAGTCAGTCTATATTCCTACCCTAACCTATGACCATGAGGTCTGGGTAGTGAGTAAGACAATATAATGAAGACACAAGCAGCACAAATATCTGTCTGGCCTCTCCCTTGAAGAACGGGTGAGGTGCTCAGTCAGCACTGGACTCAGAGTAGAGTAGGCCTACTATATGATGTGTTTTGTTAATGTCCTACTCAGAGGAAAGCCTGGATTAGAACCAGGATATACTGGATACTCTGTTTGCTGGCTTGGGATCACCTGCCTCTGGAAAGAGGTAGAGCAGGAGGCTGGGACCAGGGAGGACTGGGCATCTATGGGTAGACTATTTCTCCTTGACATGGCTACACAGCAGAAATGGATGAATGATTTGTGGGACTGTCTTCAGGATGGTTAAAAATTGTTCAGTAGTTTATGAATAAATATGTTAATACAAAGTTATGTCTAAACAGGCTTCTAACGTGTTTTGACATATTGTTTGCCATCATGTGTTTGACTTGTTGTGTCACTTGTCCCTGTTTATGTGCAACAAAACGTAAACTAAACATTAGGTAATCTAATTTAAAGCTTATAAAGTTTATAACCAGGACCTCATGAGGTAGATGAGTTTTAGATGCTTGCATCTCTTAAACAAGCCCCTTCCTGGAGGATGTTGAACTTGTAGGTTATGCTTTATAAACAGTTTCCTGCCTCGGTTAGACATGACTTATTTGGCCTTGTAAAGTCAGTAGTTCCAAAAACGTCTAGCTTCAGCAGTCTGCCGTATTGTATTTCCAAGCAGAAGTGATTTATTGCAACCGGCATCATGAAAAATTGCGTGACCCGTCTGTCGAATTGTGATGAGAGCCCTTGTGCGCACGATGCTGTGTGGCTGTAAAGCCTGAGTAGTTTGGATGTTAATGCTCTGGTATACATTACCTTTATTGTGGCAGTCTTAGTGCTGATTCTATTGTGAGGTGGAGACCTTTTGCTCGGTGAACATAAAGAGGGAGACAGAAACAGATGCCTGCTTTGTGTGACTAAGTCAACAACTATCTCTCTGTCTGTTTCTGCTACACTGATTTTTACAAGCACTCCTCTCATTTGCATTCTTGCATCTTGCGCTTTTGTAATCTCCCTCCGTCCCTTGCTGATTCTCCTCCTTCTGTTCACCCGCACATCTTTATATTCACATCACAAATAATCCTTACATTAGTGTAACGTAGTGACGTCTCTGTCTTCTTTCTCTCCTCCGTAGGTATGAGTTAAGAATCCGATATCTACCAAAGGGCTTTGTGCAGCAGTTTACAGAAGACAAACCTACTCTCAACTACTTCTACCACCAGGTACAAACACAAACAGATGCACAAGCACACAAGAGACACCCAGACACCCAAACATATTTCATTCCCTGCCAGCAGCTAGCACTAACGCATATGGCACTACTAGAAGACACCCTGCAAGTGTGTTTTTCTTTGGATAATTTAGGTCAGCAGGATTGCCTGTATGTGTGTGTGAGCGAGATGACCCTCCGTTTGTTGAGAAGTAAATGTCTTAATAAACACCTTTGCGTATTTGCATCTTCCAGGTGAAGAACGACTACATGACCGAAAACGGAGATCAAGTGGAACAAGATGTAGCTCTCAAACTGGGCTGTCTAGAAATTAGGTAACACAATGTAGTCCACTGCTTTTGTTTCAATTTCTTCACATGCAGATTGCTGTTTTTTCTTTTAATATCAAAGAATAAAAGGTTCAGTCCAAGTATTAAGCGCTCTGTTTTCTTTGTTGTTGCTGGACGAACAATTTAAAGTACAGTTTGAGTTGTTTTCTTCACCATTGCAGAATGCACAGTCTGTCTGCCCGTCAGCTACACTGATAATTCTTGCCAACATTAGTCGGAATTTATTATTCATTGTGCAAAGCAACAGCAGTTTTTGCATTTTATTGAAAAAGAAAATGAAAAAAAAATGACCTCACTCTTTCTCTCTTTCTTTCTCCCACTGGATTCATTTCTAGGAGGTTTTTTAAAGAGATGAGAGGAAATGCCCTGGACAAGAAATCTAACTATGAACTACTGGAGTAAGTATTATCTTCATAAGCAAAGAGTTCCAGGAGCACAGTTCGGCTCCCAACTTCTCTGGTGCATCAGTCCATCCTAATCTCATCATTTCTCTTCCTGGAAACATGTTTTGAAACACTGCTTTCAGAGCTACAGATCAGAAAAAGTAGCACAGTGTATCACTTTTTGGCAGAGGAAGTTTCTCTTGACTTGACTAGAAATCTGGATTAGTGCAAAAGAAATCGAATAGATTTTAGGAAGCGGGAATGTGAGCAACTGCAAATTGAAGCTGAGTATATTTGCAGTCCTTGTTGTTACATTTATGGGTATTAAAGAGGAAACCGTTCTATGTTTTTCACTCATGTTTTCTCAATGCGTTGCCCCACTGTGGATTCTCTGAAAGATGGTTGAAGAATTTGCAAAGTGAACTCTAAATGAGGCTTGGCTCTAACTTGGTGTGACTCTAATGAGCTGTCCTCTTTCACTCATGTCTTTCTTTCTTTCTGCCCGTCAGCCTAACGAGCTCTCCAATTAATCCAGAGGAATGTTTTCTGTCTTTTCTTTGTCTCTTCTTCTCATTCTCTGTCTCTCTGCACCATGTTCACTTCCCCTATTTTTATCTGGTTTTCCTTCTGTTCTCTTCCTCTCTTTGTTTTGTCTCCATCGTTCCCTCGCTGCCTCTCTCGGTTGATTGGAAAAAGATGTTGTCTCATGCATATTTTAAACCAACAAGAGACCTAGATGGAAAGAGCTACTAGGGCTTTGATACAGGAAGCTGACAGTTGGCCATCAGGGCCTGGTGGGCCCTTTATGAGCATTAAGCGCCAAAAATGTATAATGCGCTTTGGGTAATGTATGGCGCTGTTGGCTGTAGTTGGCCCATGTTGGCCACCGTTTTGGATTGCTGGCAGAAAAGGCAGAGACTTTTGTTCAGCTTTAAAAAAAAAAAGAAAAAAAAAAGCTGTTCATCTTTTAATTAGAGTTTTTCACCTCTGCTGCTTCTTTTTCATCTTCCATTAGCAACATTATAACAAGTATAATTATCAGGTTTCTTTGAAGAGATTTCTTATTTGACACCATTTATGCCCAAGCAGAAATTCACATAGTTTTGGAAACTTTATCCTTTATGCGTTTCCTTTTGTACACATTTTCCCTATAAATGGTGCCGAGTATTTTATGGCTTGACCTGTAAAAGGTCTATATTGATTTTTTTTCTTACATATACAGTTGAGATCCGAGAGATCTTACATCTATCAGTGGTCTTTGAAATTCTTCTACATCTTAATTCAAATCCACATGTGTAATTTGAATGCATTGGATGTAGTTGTAAAAGGCAGTTGGTGTCAGATGTCAGAAAACCAAGGCATGATGTGGAGATAAAATTGGTGAAGATCTGGTGAAAAACATAAGAATGCCCAAGAGCATGAAAGTCATCATCATTCCCAAATGAAAGATGTTTGGACCACCAAGGGCTGTCCTAGATCACACAAGGGCAGAATCCGGCCCCAGGGGCTGAAATGGCACCCAAACTCTCTTACCATGGTCTGCTAGGGAAGCAAAATAATCCCCCAAAATAAATAAGAGGCTGACTTATGCTCAGGAAATTTAGGGGAAATGACAGATGTGGGTCTTCAGTGCGGTTTGATTCAATTTCAAATTAGTGTATTTGATCGGTGGCCTCTGTGTGTGGCCATATGAGACAACTGCAACACAAGATGTAGGCTAATCTAGGTGGGGTGGTGTCGTTTTTACATGGAGTTTTCTTTTATGTTGGTTTTATTTTTAGTCATCAGTCATCAAATATGTTGCCTTCTGCTTTTTTAATCTAAGTCAGTTTGGCTCTCTGGGGGGGAAAGAAAAGTTGGAAGTCATTATCCATCAAGGCCTCATGCAGTCATTGTAGCCAGAGGTGCTTTAACTCGATATTACTTTTGAGATTGTTCTAACACACTGCTCAAATGTGAAAAATTGAGCAGGTCTGCACTGTAAGCGTTTTCTCTCATTGGAGCCACAGAACATACAGTAATGTTCATGTAGACGGTCAGCTGGTTGCAGTTGGCTGTCATCTTTGTGGAGCCCGAGCAGTGCTGTTTAATCAGTGGGCCTTTGTCAGGGCTCGTTCTCTGAGGTCAGCTTGATTATATAATTTCTGTCTGTGTGTATTTCTTGTTGCTCCTGTGATGACATGCCTTTGATTTTGAGAGAACCGTTTTAGAGAGGAGTTTCTTTCATGGTCATTTTCTAAAAGAAGTTAAGGAAAGTTTAACAATCTGGGAGAATTTCTGAAAACTACATTTTTAGATTTTTAATCCCTGTTTCAAATGTTTTTATTTTAATTGTAATTTGACATTTGACCTTTATTGGGGAAACATGAATAGGAAAAGGGTGATGCAAGCTTCCAGCCATTCTCCCACTGTCTTCACTTGTCTTTTCTCCTGAGGGGTATGAGTCATTAGCCAACTTCCTGTTAAAGCTCTGCTCATCTTTCTTTGTCTCTGTGGTCACCCTCTGTGGAATTCTTCCTGCAACTCTCTCTCCCTTTCTGCCTTCATTGGTTTTCTCCAACCCCATCTTTAAAGGAAAAGATGAGTAGTGTGCTGTAGTCAGCACTTAGTCATCGCTTTCGGTTTCTTGTCTTCTCTTGCCTGCCCGTTTAACTGTATCTGTCTGTGTCTGCTTTTGGCGATACCCCAGGAGAGGATGAAACACGCATCTGAGATCAGATAAAGACAGAAGTGCTTGCCAATTAACATTCTTCTTTGTAATTACACCACAATAAACATTCTGAGGTTTTCCTCCTGTCTTTCTTTTTTCAGGAAAGACGTTGGTTTGAGGCGGTTTTTCCCAAAAGACCTGCTGGATTCAGTTAAGGTGGGTTTCATGTCCGTGTGGAGAGCTTGAGTTCAAAAACAAGGTCAAAATATTGATCTTGCAAACTTGGGGGCTTTACACACTGAAGGTCACAAATTTGTGCAAATATTTTTCAGAATTATTTTTCCAAACCAAACTCGATTTTTCAGATCCAAATAAACAGATCTGACCAATCAGACCGCTGCATTTGGCAAAAAGTGGCTCAAAACGTGCAATGGTACTGAATATACATTGATATTAAAAGTGTAAACTATTACTGATATACGTCAGACACCCAGCTATACACTGCTCCAGGGCAGTTAGCTCTCTGAAATTAAATTTCTCTGCCTCCTCACACGTGGTCCCAAATATGTATGAAATGGTTGTGATCGAGCTTCAACTCCTGGATCTAAATCTCCCTGCAAGTTCCTTCTCGTGAGAACTGGATGAACCCAAAATTTTCTTGTTTAGAAACATCAGGACCTTAATGTCATTCCCATTTTTGACACGTTTTTTTTTTTTTTTTTTAAGGACAAATTTTCTGCACAAACCCAGTGTGTTTGGTGTGAATATTCGTTACACTGCAAGTCTGGATGTGAAATATTGTGTATTTCCACTGGTATTGGAGTATCGGTGTGTAGTTTTATTAGCAGATTTCTAGTAGCTTCGTCTTAGATTTTTCTAATGTGTTATTTGATGTTATCAGACATTGTGAGGTCCAGCAGATTAAATGTGAAGCAATCTAAGAAAATAGAGAAACATTAGAAAAACCTTCATAAATTATCAAGTAATGTGATGAATGTTGTTTTTAACCACAACGAATAATTTCTGCTAGGTTTACACTTGTTCAAGTATCGTATATATCCCAGTCTACAGTTAACCAAGTAGTCAGCAGTTATTGAAACCACTGCTGCGTACTGATGTGCTACTCAATGATTCAATGAGGTCAACTTACCGAAGTAACAGGAAAGTCTGACATATTGTGTATTATAGTTACGGATTCCTGTTTCTTTGAGAAGACCTTTTGGTTGGCTGGTCGTATGTGGTGGTGGTGCTTCTTGCATATTGAGCAGCGTCTGCGTCAGTGATAAATTTACGGCACGTGTTTATGAGAATGGTCTTGGTGTGTGTGTGTGTGAGAGTGTGAAAGGCCCGGTGACCCGAAAAGGTCTTGATGTCAGCAGGCGGGGAAGACAGATGCTCTGCAGGAGAGAGAGAGACCGTGTGTTCATTCTGGTGTATGTCTGTGATGGGTATGCGTGACCCTCGGGTCATGTTTAAACCCACTTTCTCTCTCCAACAATGAAAAGGGAGGGGGAGGTGTCAATATACATCTCCTTCACCCCCCCACCCCACCCAAAAAAAAGAAAAAAAGCCTGTCAAGCCTTGTTGACTCCTCTCCTCTCATCTCTTTTTCTGCTCCTTTGGCAGACGTCACAACATTTACTCCCAAGAGGACTGTTTTATAAGCCACGAAGAGGCGCACAGTGACACACATGTGCAGTCAAACATCAGTAAATTGACTCGATTATCAACGTCTCCACAGATTATTTTATTGCAGTGTTTATAATTTCTGTGACCACCTGATCTGAATTGATGCATAGGTGAAAGAAAGGACTGTTTACTTCAGAGACGGAGAGAGCTGAACAAAAACAAACTAATCAACAGAAAATGAATCTCTGGCTAATTTAATACCTGGTAAATATTTTCAGTCTTATCCTCACTGTAAGAATGTTTCAATAAATCTTAGGGGGGGGACTACTTTCTGTTGAATAAATCAGTCACTTAGTAGAGGAGGAAAACTGGGGGGATCTTAAAAAATACAAAAAAGCATCAAAACACACAAAAAAACATAAAATATATGTAAGCTTGGTAAGTGGCTGCCACGTTTGGTCTTTTAAATACCATTTTGTTTCTTGCAGATTAATCACATTTTTGACTAGTGTTGCAGTTCTGTGTTTAATCATTTATATAATATGTACTGCCAGTTAAATGCAAGAGGAGCTGTGGCACGCTCACATGCTGCACATTTGTGTTAGTGTTTGTGTGAAACACAGAGGGAGCGAGCACAGCTGCCATTTAGGTTTGTGTTGTTCACTCTGGTGAAAGAGAATGGTAGTCATTTAATGAGATTATTCTCCCTGAATGGACTCTACTCACTCACACACACACACACACACACACACACGGACAGACACACTAAACCCAGAGCAGATGGCCGTGATAGTAAACAGTGACTGATGTTATAAAGAGCAGATTTTGTTCATTCACATTGACTGGCCGGGCAGCAGGTTTAGGAAAGCTGACCTCTGGGAGATTTGAAGATCAGAGTTGACCCGGGCTGAATGATTGAAACACTGCCGCACACTTTATTAAGGATTGGTGTGATAAGGTTTCAGGATAATATAACAAAACCTATGGTCATATTTGCAATATGTTTAGTAGAAGAAATAAAGAAGAACAAATTCTTTGACTTCTTAGCGTGTCCCTAAAAATACGTTATTACTTTTAATTCACTGATCTGTATACTATAATACATGACAATGTAGTCATGAGTATATGGTGTATGGTAAAAATGTGACTTAATATTAAGATTAAAGTTCCAACAAAATATGTACTCCCACAGCTGTGTTGGTTACCCCTTGTTAGTACTGGGTTGGACCCCCCTTATGCCCTGTGAACTACCTCAATTGGTCATTACATAGATTCAACAAGGTGCTGGAAAGTCCTCAGAGGTTTTGTTCCTTATTGAGATGATAATATCACACAGTTGCTGCAGATTTGTCGGCCGTATATCCCCAAGGTGCTGTATTGCATTGAGATGTGGGTACTGTGAAGGCCACCTCTGTACAGTCATTTTAAAAACACAGGTTTGAGATGATTTGAGGTTTGTGACATGGCGTGTTATCCTGCTGGAAGCTGCCATCAGTAGCTCACGCATGATCACTGTTATTTTAGGAGCAATAAAGCAACTTCTTGTTGGTGAATCAGTCGTGCTTCGCAGGGACAAAAAGAAGAACTTTGTATCACAAATCGTGCGTATGGCCAGACTGTTGTGATGCTTTGCTGTGGAAAAACCAAATAGACTAAAATAACACTAAACTGCTCCCAGTGACTGCTAATGAAGTGAACTAGTGTCAGCGAATTGATTGTTTTGTGCGTGTGTAAGTGGGGTGTTTAGATGCAGGTACTAGTGTCCTAATTGGTCAGCCAGTTGCTATAGAGACAGTCAGTGTGTTGATGAAGGAGCTGATAGCCACTCGTGGTACTTCCTCTCAGGAAGGGTGGACACTTTGGACGGACAATATCTGTGTGTTTATGCGCATTTGTGTGGTGGAATTCTAGGAATTAAAACAGTGATCCTATCTGGAGCATGAAGAACACATAATAGATTTTGTAATGACATCTGCTGAAAGGACACATGAACACAGGGACTGTGTGTGTGTGAGAGAGAGAGAGAGAGACAGAGTATTTGTGGGTTTCTTGTTTCCTTCAGACTTAAGTAAACACCTGGCATCAGGGCTCTGTGTTGCTGCAGTGAAGTTTATATAATACAGTTTTTATTGACAAATCAATGATATTAAAGTAGCACTAAAATGGATTTAATATTAACTTGTTATATGAATATTTCTGTCCTGAATATTTATATCTGTTTTATAGTAAATGTTTAGTGCAGACAAATGTGTAATACCAAGTCATTCAGGCTGCCTGAGATCAGTCCGTTGGGTGTTTTTGTCCAAGTCAAGTTTGCAGTCGGTTAATCTAATAAATTCTTAGTCATTAAACTTATAATGTGCAGAATGCCCCTAATTGCTATTCTGTTTTAAACCTATGCATGTTCCTCTTGTAAGCCTGCTAAATACTCATCTTTTTTCCATCTATATATAAAAAGCAGTTCATAGGATTGTCTGCATACTGTATGTGTGTTAATTTATTTATTTTCCTAATTATGCATTCAGTGTGTGTGCGCAGGACAATATGTTGTCCATTTTTGTGCCAAGAGTGTCAAAGAATAGAGGATTAAATCGCAGAATGATCCTCCTTGATGTATTTTTCTTTACCATCTGTCTGCTTTGTGTTGGTGACATAAGAGATCAAAAAATTCACATGTGAGGCTGTGATTGTAATGCCAGCAGACCTACACGTCCTTCAGAAAAATCCACTCTGTAAATCTGTGTAAGATACAATGTGCACTGTAGATGAATGGGCAGACTGGTTGCTGTTTAACTGAGTGACTAAAAAGAAACAAGTCTCTAAATCTTAATTTAATTCTTATATTTTTTTCCATTTTTTGTGCAGGCTAAAACGCTTCGAAAATTGATTCAGCAGACATTTAAGCAAGTAGCCAACCTTAATGATGAGCAGTGCATCCTGAAGTTCTTGGAGATACTTGCACCAATTTACCGCTATGACAAGGAGTTCTTCAAATGTGCCCTTGGGGTAGGTTGAGTCTGCTGCTCAGTTTCACTCTGCCACGCTGCCCTCAGGGAGCGCTGCTTTTCTGTGTTAGGTCGACCCCTTCTGGTGGCGTCATGCTTTGCATGTATCCAGCGAACAATACCTGCAGACATGTAAGGCAGAAACATGGTTCTTACACAAGTCAAGCATCTGGAGGGATGACAAGCATTGAGACTCCCTTCTAGAAGGGCTTTGATGCTGCCCCTACTCCCTTTCCTTGCTCATGTTTTATTTTCTGTAATTTTCTCCTGGTCTGCCCTTCTCCCTCCTCCCGGTCTGTCTCTTTTAACTTGCATCTCATCCTCTCTTTAACAGTCCAGCTGGGTGATCCAGGTAGAATTAGCCATCGGGCCAGAGGAAGGAATCAGCTACCTCACTGATAAGGGGTCCACGGTGAGTTTCTACCAAGAACATAAAGTAAAACTCATCCAGGTTTATTGCACTCTAGTTCATGATCAAAGAAAACTAACGAGTGTAGTTCAGATGTTTTACTTTAATTTCTTGTGTGTGTTGCTCTGTCCTCAGCCCACCCATCTAGCAAATTTTAATCAAGTCCAGTCCATCCAGTACTCAGCTATGGAGGAAAAGGACAGGAAAGGCATGCTACAACTGAACGTAGCCGGAGCTGCTGAGGTATCACTACCCTCTCTGTTACTGTGATAAACTATGGAAAACTTGACTGTTGGCAAATAACAATTTTTCCATCTTATTTTACATACATGTAGTTAAAAAATATCACATTTTGTTATATAATCATCCATCAAAGAACTCTTTATGAGCTTTTTATGAAGAAAAATGTTTGCTTCAGTCTTGTGAGGTAAGTAGAAGGTTTTAAGGTACCTTTTTTTCTTTGTAGGTGATATTTTACTATTGTTTCACTTGGCAGCGTCATTCTGACCTCTAAAGATCAAAAGCTATTCTCACTGTGTTGCTTAGTTTGTCTACAAGAGTGGTTTGGTTTATTGTTACCTATATGATTTGATGTACTCACATGTAAGACACACATGTATGATGAGTTTTTCTTGAACATAAGGGCCAGCTGAAAATTTCTAGTGATTTGCTTTGTTTGTGTTTATGTATGTGTTTGAAATAATAGCTATCTGTAACAGGCCTACTATGCTGTCTGTCTGTGTGTGTTTGTGTAGCCTCTCACAGTTACGACAGCATCTCTCACCACGGCGGAGAACTTGGCTGACTTGATTGATGGTTACTGTCGACTCGTATCCATGGAAACTCACTCCTTCATTATCAGAGTTCAGAAAGGTAAAGTTTGATCGCTCCTATATGTCAGTTAGTTTTTTTTTTAAACTTTTCTTCTGTGCAAAAATGTATTTTCTAGGGTTTGTAGGGATAGAACGGTAAAAATAGAAAAAATACTTGTCCTTACACTGCTGGATGTATTTCAACAATTTCTGTTCTCATGACATTTGGTTTTCTTTGTGCTGTACATACAGCCATGTGTTATGTGAGTGAGGACACATTATTCATTGGAAATTCATATTTTTGTCCTCTAGAGGGAGAGAGAGCGCTGCCTTCCATCCCAAAGTAAGTACAGACCTCATCCTTGGTATAGTTATATATAAAAGGAAAGAGTTGCCATGTTCCAAGATCAGTAACTGTATTTTTCTTTTTTCCTGTCAAACTGACCATGTGTGGTTTGGAGCCCTGATTACAGAGTTTTACTGAAAATAAAAGGTTCATAGCACTAAATAATGTGCATGTAGAGACTTGTAACTTGATATCAGAATAAACCACAATACTATATTTACATCCAATTAATTTCCAGGGAATTGTGGTTTTGAGAATTGAGTATTATGTAAGTAAACACAGACAAGAGCATTTCTATTGTAAAGTCTTTCAGCAATGCTTTGTCAAAGTTCTGTTCAGTTAAAATTCAGAAGAAAGTGACTGCTGATTGTAAAGTTCAGAGGAGGAATACAGAAGCTGCAGCGAATTCATTCTTTTACTTTTATGCCCGGTTTTGGTTTGGGCTGCATTTTTTGTTTTGCAGTTTTATTTTCCGAAAAGCTTCCGGGAAAGAACCTTGTAATTTCCATTTTCACTGCAAATAGAGATTTTGAATTAATTCAAATTAAATGCGTGAAAGCTTCCGTACGCTTTGCAATGACAACAGTGAACCATTGTTTTCTTGGGCTTTGTTGTTGCTTTTTTTTCTAATGCACTTCCTTTCTTCCATTTAATCTAAAATTATATAACTAATGGTAAGTTGTGGAGAATTAGAGGGAATATGGGGACCTTTAAAAAGTTTGTGAGCAGAAAAAAACTGAACAAAAACCCTCAAATGTATTTTTTTTCCCCCCAATAAATGAGCCGTTTGGGTTTTTTGATGCACAACTTTCCTAATGCCCACAGCGTTTTATTTGTTTATCTGTAGTTGTTGCAGCCGGGTAGATTAGCATGATCGTGTTTATCTATCAGCTGTTTAAATTCAGCCTCCAGCAGTTTATCTTTGTTTTGGTCATTTCAGCTCAAATCTGTCCCGCTCTCTCTTTTATCTTTCTCCCACTCTGTGGCTCTGGTCAAATAAGGATATAAGTTTAGGAGCCAAATATTTTCCACTTAGGGTTTTTAAACACTCTCGAAGTCTCCTCCTCTTGCTTTCATTCGCTCACTCCCTTTGCTCACCCACCCTCTCTTTTCCCTTCTGTCTGTTGCTGTCTGTGATGTAAAAAGATAGTAGTAGAGCTCAGCTGATATAGGAAAAAGAAACCACGGCAAAAGGAGAGAGACCGTAAGGATTAGTTTACCTTTGAAGAGCTGCATGTGGAGAACAGCTTCCATCGTTTCTCCTTTTCCTTTTTTTTTTTACCGTTAACTTTACAAATTGCTGATATTGATGTTATGGAGGCATAAATGTAGTTAGTGTATTTTTGTGTGTGTGTCTGTGTAACTGTTGTCTGATTTGCTCTTGGCTCCTTTTTTCTAGACTTTCTAACAGTGAAAAAAAGTTAGAAGCAGTCCGGAGTGGAGTAAGAGCGATCTCTGTCTCAGGTAAGATACAAAATCAAGCACACTCACTCACAAAGAGGCAGGTTTAGGAGGAAGATGAGCAAGAGTCTGCTCATCTTCATCGAAGCTTCCTCGGCTCCAGCTGTCTTCCTGTTGTTTCATAATTCAGCTTTTTGTTTTTTTTCCCCTCTTACTCATTTTTTCCCCCCATCATAATCTCATTGTTTTCTCCTCTGTTGGGACAGCCTCTCCCTCTCTCTCCGTCATCCACTTTGTTCCTGCTTTCTTTTGTTTACATCTTCTCCCCTCATCTTTCTTCACTCTCTCACATCCATTCACTCTTGTTTTCTCTCTCGCACTCTCATCCTCTCCCCCGCCCTATTGGCTGAAGATCTTGTGACATCGATGCCTCCTAAGCCAACCAAGGCGCGGCGTTTCCTCCTCCCCTTTGTCTTCTGTTCAGATTCGCCGCCCAACGGTATCCTCGGCTCTCATTGGACAGTTAGCAGAGGAGAATATCCACAAAATTGTGATGTGGCAGAGTGAAATTCCTGATTTGATGACCGCGCTTACTGAATAACTTCACATAAGGACACACAGACAGTCTTTACAGAACCCACAGTACTGAGGAATGTTAATTAAAATGTTACAGTAATAATATGTGGGTTGTTTAAGTGATTTATGGTACTCATTTAGTGCAGGACGGGTCCAAATATTGACTCGCTCTTGGTTTGTTTTTTGTGGGGAGAGTTTTTCTACATTTTAGATCTAAAGTAAAAAGTGATTTTATGGCTAAAACACTTTCTGCTCCATCACAATCTGTCCCCTTCTGCTAAACTGTCTTTGACTTCGTTGCCTTGTTGCTTTGACTCATCCAGTCTTACACACACACACACACACACACACACACACACACACTTTAACCACAATAACAGGTTATGCGATGCTTCATAACCACACCAATGCTCACTAAAAATAAAAGACTGTAATACAAATTAAAAAACGATTGGACAAATATCTTTGCCTGAGGTTTGTGTATGTTTTTGATGCATTAGGAGTTTATTTCGCAGCCATTAGTAACCAGTCTTTACCCCTTACAAGTCTAAAGAAGATGGATCTTATTCTGTTACTTTCCATCATGTTTTTTTCCCTATTGTATTGTTGTGAGTAGCAGTAGCATGTGATGACACACAGAGTGAATTGTTATTTCAGGACTCCAGTAAGCACATCTTGCTGGTGAGGTCACAACTGTGTTGTTTTTCATGAACGTTGTGGCCCAAAAGATATATCATCTGATATGGACAAATCACAAATGTACACTCACTGACCACTTTGTTAGGTACAGCGGGTTAGTTCCAGACTGGGCCTCTTAAGAGCTGCTTTAATTCTTCACGGGATAGTTTCAGCAAGGTGCTGGACACATTCCTCTGAGTTCATATTAACGTGATCATGTCAAACACTTGCTGCAGATTTGTGAGCTGCGCATCCATGTGGAGAATCTTCCATTCTGCCACACTCCAAAGCACAAAGGTGCTCTATTTGCTTGAGATTTTGTGACTGTGGAGGATATTTGTGTACAGTCGTCCCTCGTTTATCGCATTAGTTACGTTCTAAAAATAACCGGCGATAGGTGAAATCCGCGAAGTAGCCAACTTTATTCTTTACAATTATTATAGGTGTTTTAAAGCTGTAAAACCCCTCACTACACACTTTATACCTTTTTCTCAGATAGGCATGAACATTCTCACACTTTTATCTCTTGTTTAAACACTCTAAAAGTTCAAACCTTTGTAGAAAAATGAGTCCAGTATTATAGAATGGAACCAAAGGCACATGTGGTTGCCTTTGGCGGTGCAAAATGTTTTGTCGACATTGTTGTGTTTGTTGGGGAGAAAACTTACAAACATGCAGTACAGCACTTCAGAGTCACACTGCTAGCGATCGAAGATTTATGTAAATTTGACATGCTGAACGCATTTTGTACTGTACAGGAGACACGGCACGAGATTGATTGACAATGGTCTACAGCCAATTAGGATGCAGAACACAATGCGCTGTTTAAAAAAAAAATTAAAAAAGAAAAATTGCACAAAAAAAATCTGCGAAAGAGCGAGGCCGCAAAAGGTAAACCTCGTTATAGCGAGGGACCACTGTACAACAAAATCACTGTTATGGTCAAGAAACAAGTTTGAGATGATTTGAGCTCTGTGACATGATGGTTTATCCTGCTGGAAGCAGCCATCAGAGAATGGTTATACTGTGGTTATAAGGGAACAGACATCGTCAGCGACAATATTTAGTTAAGCTGTGGGGTTTGGTACTAAAAGGACCATAGTGTGACATACAGTGCTATACAAGACAAAATGAATCCATGCTTTTATGTTGTTTACACCAACTTTTGACTCTTTTGCATACCTTGGTTGTAACCAGTGATTGTTTGAGTCACTGTTGCCTTCTTATCAGCTTGAAGTAGACTAACCATTCTCCTCTGATCTCTGGCGTCCACCAGGGATTCTCAGTCAGTGAACCGTCACTCACAGGATTATTTCTCATGTTCAGATCATTCTCTGTAAAGCCCAGAGTTAGTTGTTTAGGGAAATCCCAGTAGATCAGCAGTTAGTGAAATACAACAACCATGATGCATTCAACATCTCTTAAATCACTTTTCTACCACATTCTGATGCTCAGTTTGAACATCTGCACATCGTCTCGATCATATATGCATGTATATGCATAAATGCACTGAGATGCTCACATGTGATTGGCTGATCACAAATGATCATTAACGAGGAGTTTAACAGCTGTACCTAAATAAAGTGGTTAGTGAGTGTACATGAGAGATGTTGCCTGGTTCTTGGAACCATTTAGAAACACTGTCATCTCATCTTTAAACCAGCACAGCACCCGCCTACATGGTTGTTTCCAGTACTCTTAGCACTGTCTGCAGCAGATGTAGCAGAGTAGTGTATAGCAGAGCAGTGTCAACAAGTCAAGCTGCTAACTGTTTGTTCAATGCTAGAAAGTTACTAAACACTCATCCCTCATTTTCCTTTAATGCTAATGCTTTTAGCAACATGGGGAAGTTGCTATACTAGAAGGACTCGTGGATTTTATCGCTCTATTCTGTGTACGTGTCAGTTGCGTGATATCCTGGATGGGTCATAATGCTGACCTCATTTCTCCAAGTGTCGCGTTGGCAGCTGTCATCAGTAACTAAAAAGACGGCTCGGAGAAATGAGCGTGAGAGTCTGGACAGCAGCTGCTTCGTAGCCGAAACCTTTAAAAATCATCCAAACTTTTCCAAATGTGATAAACAGGCCTGATAAATGCAAGGCTTGGAATTTCAAGCTCTGCGTGTTTTAGTAAAACTCGCAAAAACAGCTTGTAAACTTTTACTCTCTTATATGCATTCAAAACTTTTCCATATTTCCCATTTAAGATGGAAAAAAATATGAAAAAGCCAATAATAATAAAGCGAAAAGTTGTCACTGGGGGCGTTCTCTTGTTCTAAGAATTGAGTGAGAAAATGAGGTATGTGAGAAACCTTGATCATTTGTAACTGCCTGCTCACTGTATCCGTTCTTCCAATGAAACTCGCATATTAAACACAGCTGCATCCCCTGTCTGCTCACTGTAATTAACTCCCCAGCTCACATGCTTACAGCTTGACACACAGAACATACTTTATTGACACCACATTGGACTTATTGTCACTGTTTTCTACACATGTGTATTTTAACTGTACATAAGCCTGCACAGCATTAATTGAAGGAGATGTTAACGTTGCATTTTTTCCCCCCTCATTAGATTTTGGATTTTAACTAACTGCCCGCTGATTGTTTGGCTTTGCAGATCCTGCAACATCACCGTGTTGTTTCATGGCATGTCATGCTCTAACCTCTCTTCTCTCTCTCTCTCCTCTCTGCTCTGCCTCCTGCTTCTCTCTCTCTCTCTCGCTGCTGTTTGTCATCCTCCTTCTCTGCTGTCCCGTTTCCTGCATGCTCTCCTGGACCCTGCAGAAGATCTTAGTGGGGATGGTAAAGTTATACTGTTGTTTATAATCTTTTGTTCTTATGTTCCTTCTTCCTAGTCCTCCTCCACCAAAACACTGCACTCTCCTGGGAAAGGGGAGTGCGTGTTGTGGTGGTGTGAGAGAGAAAGTGTGTGTGTGAGTGCGGTATATGTGCTTTGTTGTATAAATATTGTGTAATGTAATTGTAATACAAAATGATTGGATACATGGATAAATAACCTGTAAGCAAGAGTAGCATGTGATTTTTATTATTGCATGTTTAAGTTGAGTGTTTGTGTGATTATCTCCTATTATTGTCTTCAAAGCCGAATGTCTGCTTTCATCCGGAAGGGACACCAAAAACAGAATTTGTGTATTCAGTGGTGTTTTCAATTTTCGGGAACATCTGCAGCTGCTTCTCTCTGTCGTTCTCCACACACACACACACACACACACACACACACACACATACAATTGGCTACACATATGCAAAATCGTGCACACGTGTACTCTTGTGCGTTCATGCACACACTTGCACACTCCCGGAGAGGAGTAGGGAGAGGCTTGCTGGATTCGAGAGCGGGTGCATTCCTGGCTATAATGGGCCAGCTAGATCGCACACATACACACAAATTCCCTCTCTACCGAAAGCTGAAATGCAGAGTTAGGCCTCTCAAGCTTAGAAAGGGTTGTTTCTGTAGAACACATCCCAAACCACACTGGGGTTTAATATGCAGAGTGATACAGAGTGACCTCTTAGTAAAAACTAAAACCATTTCTTTCATAGACTCAGACTATTTATGCAAGCTACACAAAATACTCAAAAAGCTAGAGTGTAGCTTCTATCCCCAGCTGGAATTTATTGGATTTTTGTACATGTAAAAACGTGAAGAAAAAAAGTAAAATGCAAAATGAACAGGTATTCTGTTAGTACATTTTTTTTAAATCAACGACTCAGAATCAGCTTTTGCCCAACAGTTTATCTAATGAATAGAACTATTCCAGTTCAAATCAAGATGCTTTTGATAAGCCTCTAAATGTTGTTTCTTTCCCCTCTTGTGAAATATAAGTCATGCGTAGCAATGGTTGAATAAATGGATGCCTGTTTAATTAAAAGGGTTTTTTTAGCATCTTGCAAAAATAGGGAAATGTGTTCTATAATAGCAGTAACAATGACATTTGTACTACAGTCACACAAGGGAAAACAGTGGTTGAAAACCGCAGCATGCCCAAAATTATTGCAATTGTGTCCAATGAGCAAGCAATCTCATTGCCTTTGAAATGGGTGCTTTGAAGATGCGGATCAAGTCTGCAGCCGCTTGTAGTTGGCTGCTGCTTTCCAAGAAATTTTGGCGCATTTGCTGTCAGTTTGAGATTGAATGTGGTGAAGCTGGTAGGTTATTAGTAACAATATGGTGATTAACTGTGATAAACTGGGGAAAGTTAAAAATCTGTTGGTATTGACACACACACAGAAATTTATTCAGATTTAACTGTTATTAATTCACACTTACATCCCACAATATTAATGTAGACTGAATGTGCTACTTACATTCACAGTACAGCAATAACCTCAAGATTGAAACAGAAATCTCTCCACAAAGAGTGTTCTAGTTGTTGCAGGAGAGCAATTTACCTGTAAAGTAACACAAGCGCTCAGCGAGCTTGTTTTTGTATAGGATTATAACCAGAGCAGTGGAGGCCCCTGTTGCAAAGACAAGGGACATATTCCACATATTGCGCACATACTGACTCTGATTGATTGCAATATGCTAGCAATATGTGTTTATAAATTAGACAGCAATCATTTGGAAACCTTCTCCAATCTGTCGTGGACTTTTTAAGTTCTTGGACAGAGTCAGGATAGGTGTTTTTCCCCCCTAGATTCTGTGTTTTATGTAAAGCTAACAGCTAACCACACAAATATCAGAGTTTTTAATCAATCACATTATGCGACTCTGAGCAAATATACACGTTCCACAATATCCAAATATAACTTTGCTCACTAATAGAACAAAATAAGTGCAGTTTATGTTGTCAACCATCCGGTGTATTGTTTGGCCCGCCTTATTTAAAATGACTATGCAGCTAGCCCGTAATTCCTCTACAAGTCTGGCTTCAGAGACTTTTCTTGAGAAAAGCAGCCACAGGCTTTAGAAAAGGATTTTTGATTAAATTTAGGAACACATTTCCCACAGTCCCTGATAAATCCTAAGCAGAGCTGCGAGGGGAGCAGGACAGCAGATGTTTGACTCTTGTTTCCAACAGCTGAGTCTGCACACTGATTTTATTTTAAACGCCGCCATCTGGTTAGGATCGACTCGGTCCATGTTTCCCCGTCTTTTTTCTTCTTCTTCTTCTTCCTCCTGGCTCTCTTCTCTCTCTGGCTATCTGTCTGATTCCACACAGATTTTACCCTAAATACTACCATCTGCTCTCATGACAGCTAGACCCAACATTTCTCCTTCCTCTTCTGTGCATTTCTCCCTTAATGCTTCTTCCTCTTCACTGAGTTTTCAACTGGTCTCCTTACTGTTTTGCCTTTCATTTTCTGTTTGTCCCTGCTTTGTGTCTTCATCTCATCTCTTTTACTTTTCTTTACCTCCTCCTCCTCCTTCTCCTCTACCGCCACCACAGTAAGTCCCTCCCTGCAAACCAGCTGCTCTCACACAGACAGATATTCACAACACATGCTCAGCTGACGCTATCCGCCAAGTGTTTTGTGTGGGTGTGTGGGTGTGTGTGTCTGTGTGTGTGTGAAAGAAGGCGAGAGAAAGGCAGAGCAAGAAGCTACGTGGGTGTTTCTCTGCTCGGGAGTTGTTCAAACTCTGAGTTAGCTTCATGCTAGTTTAGGGTAGGTTTCTTCTCGGGTGTATGTGTGTCATGGACCCTTCTTAACGGTAAACCAGTTTTTGTGTCATCATTTGTACCAAGTGTGTTTTAATCTCTTGCTTTTTTTTTTTTTTTTTTTTTACATTGTGTGTGTGTCATGTTTCAGAAACTGATGACTATGCAGAGATAGTTGATGAAGAGGACACCTACACCATGCCCTCAAGTAAGTCACTTATTCAGTTTGCTCTCTTTCTAAACTCATTTGCACTTAAGGACTCTTAAGAACTCAGCTTCTGTTGCACTGGCACACGGCGGCTATAAATTTCTCGTACTCAAACAAACTTTAATTTCATTCTGCTCCCTAATAAGCGAGGTTGTGGTGTGAATCGCTTCCAAGAAACCCACTCGCACAACGAACCTGAGGAGTTGCATTAAACCGCGTTTGGTTAGGCAGCAGCTATCAAATTCTGGCCGGTTTTCCTTCATCCTTTCTAAACAGCAGAGACGCTAGAGGCCGCAGCTTGCGCCATGTACGTGTGGTCATGGAGACGCATCACATCTGTCGGATTCATTCATGCGTTTGTCAAAAGCCTGAATGTGCTGGTTTGTTTGGCTGTAGTTCTGTAAGTAGTCGTGGCTTTAGCTCCATTATTTTTAATGTGGATGTTTTGGCCAGTTCAGAGTACTTATGCGTTTGATTGTGCGGCCAACTTTGAAAATGGACTGTTCTCTTTCCCCCCAGTCTTTTTCTATCTGTCTCTGTCTTGGCTCTTTCTTTCTTTCTTTGTCCTTTTTTTTTTTTTTGCTTTGCTTTTTTTGGTCTCCTTTAGGAGACTTCCTCTAATCAGACTCACTGCAGACATATTTTCCTATCCTGTGTCTGACTTTGTATGTGTGTCCATGTCATACCGGCTGCTGAATTTATAAAATAAATCTGTAAAATGGTAACAGCTGGAGAGCAAGCTTAGATCTTTGAATTATTCTGTGGCGGTATCGACAATTATCAGATAATGAGCAAAGTCGGCCAGTTATTGTTGTCTGCGCACTTTTGTGTGTTTGTGTTTTCTGAGCTAGTTTCAATCTTAAAGCTGCTGCCTGGCTCTCCCCCCGTCTCTTCATCTCCATCTCTTTCTCTCTTCCTCTTTCCCCCCATCGCCAACACAGTGAGCTATGGAGTAGTTGAAGGTAAAACTCCCTCTCTCTCTTTCATTCTCTCTCGTTATTTTTCTTTTCCAGGCTCTTTTTACATCGTAGTGTTTTTGACCATGACCTCCAGTAAGCGCATTGAAAAGCCAGTAATGAATAAGCATTAGCTGTTTATTTGATCTTTAACACCTGGAAAAGAAAAAAAAAGACTTAAATTGTTGTTGAGTTTTGTTTTGGCTTTTTCTTTTCTTTTTTTACTCAGTGGTATATTTTATCTTGTAGATCGCAGCTCGTAAAGGTGAACTCGGGCGTCGCAACTGAGCGAGAGCCAATCCATAAACAAATCATTACGTTTCAGTACATATAACACTTTGTACTGAAGTACATTAATAAGTCAATCAGAACTTGGGAACATGAAATAAAGACAGACCTCTGGAACAACCTAACAGCATTTGTTGTGTTTTGGCTTGGCTCTCCTTGCACCATCCTGCTGTTATCGTGTCTTTACTACTTTTTTTTTATTTGTTTCTTTTTAAATTGTGTTTTGTGGTTATGGTTCTTTCACATCTTCTTTTATGTTTGAAGAAATTATTAATTTCCTGAAAGTGAATATCAGTGTGATTTTTAATTACAGTAAGTCTTTCATAATGGAATGTGTGTTTGGTTACTGCTGAACTGGTTTTGTTTGGGTTGGTTGAATCCAAACAACAGAGCTCTGTTTAGCCTGACAGACAATTAAACTTGTAAAGAATAAGTTCCTGATGGTGAACGACCCCAATAAACCTTTTCAACTTGAGCTTCCTGCGGTTAGTTGGCAACTGACATTAATGCACCTCCGCAGAAATGCTTCCTGACCTTTTCAGCGAGGCGGAAATATTAATAACGCTTTAATGTCAAAAAAACAAGCAGTTTCTCTCCAATCCTTCTGGATACACTCTGTGAAAGTTAGGGTTAGATGCAGGCACTGACTTCATCAAGCAGTGTTTAGTTTCAGTCCATATGAGAGGTGCTCAGAGATCTCCAGACTTTTTCCCAAATTGAAATTCTTTTTCACAACTATTTGATCGTATTTTTCCCCGCAGTTTCTCTGCAACATCACTACAGACGTCATTACAGGAACAAGTGCATTATACTGGGACACTCGTGTGCATGTTCATGTTGTATGTTGTTGGTGTGTTTGCAGATCTGTGTTGCAGCGTGCATGTTTTACCATTGATCTAGTTAGAGGGGAAGAGGCTTGATCCAGGTCCTACTATTTTAGGTTTGTTGTAAAGTGAAACTAGTGCCAATGGATGGGGTTTGCCTAAAAGGGCAGCGTAAGACTGCCAGAATGATAGAAATAATTTAAAGCTAACTTAGAAGCATATCGTGGAAACTTTTCCACAATAAACTATCTAAATATGTCCTTTTTTCTTGCTTAAACCTCATCCATGGTGTTGAAATAAATGCCAAATGTGACAGGTTCTTGCTGTTTTTCAATCAACTGAAAATGCCCTTACTTCCTTCCCTATTCTTTTTCCTTTCCTCTTCTTACTCTGCCTCTCAGCGCGGGACTATGAGATCCAGAGGGACAGGATAGAGTTGGGCCGCTGCATTGGAGAGGGTCAGTTTGGCGATGTACACCAAGGAGTCTACAACTGTCCAGTACGTGAAAACACACCAACATGCACACCTCTCTGTTAATGCGTGTGGGCCAAAAGGCTTGTACAGTCTTGCTGTGTTATTTTGGTGAGCTTTACAGTGTATCATCTGTTAACTCCTGTCTTGTGTGCTGTTTGTTTGCAGGATAAAGCATCTCTAGCTGTCGCCATTAAGACCTGCAAGAACTGTACCTCTGACAGCGTCAGAGAAAAGTTCCTGCAAGAAGCACGTAAGATGCAATTTTGTGCGTTTGTCAGTGTGTCTCACATCACATTAGCATTGTATGTATGATGATGCTATTACTGTCTTTTTTCCTTGCAGTGACAATGCGTCAGTTTGACCATCCTCACATTGTTAAGCTGATCGGCGTGATCACAGAGAACCCGGTGTGGATCATCATGGAGCTCTGTACTCTTGGAGAGGTAACCCTCATACTGTGTGTGTGGGATAATCTTGGTATTCGAGTTCTCTTGAGATGGCAAGAGCCGTAAAAAGCTCAGTCTTGGTATGTCAGCGTGGTTCATCTTTTAACAGTGCCTCTGTCATTTCCTCCCTTTGTTTTCTCTCTCTGTCAACAGTTGCGCTCGTTCCTTCAGGTGAGGAAGTACAGTCTTGACCTGGCCACGCTCATCCTGTATGCCTACCAGCTCAGCACAGCTCTGGCCTACCTGGAGAGCAAACGCTTTGTACACAGGTAAACACACACACACATGCTTCTGTAGCCTGATTGAGGTGGGGGGAGTGGAGGGCTCAGACTATTAGTGCCAACACCACAGATTATACTGAAATTGAATTAAAATGGCATTTTCAACTACACGAACACCTGCAGGACTTTCAGTTTCTTATATAATCTCAAAACATATAAAAGTGCAAAATTATATTTCCTTTAATGACAACATTCTCTGAAGATCTTCCCACATTCACCCTGCCTTGTTACAATTTTACAAGTTTACTCAACAGTGAGATTTCAGACCCATGAATCATCATTTTGCATCACAAATGACAGTTGGGGTGTTACACAATCGGATGCACATATGTCACAAATGAAGCATTGCATTGTGAGTCTGTGAGAGTGTGCGTGTGTAAGGATAATATATTATGTTTCATAAATATAATGTTACAGTTCAGACTATACACAGATCACAGCAGTAGGTTTTAGAGATTTAGATTTTCTTTTTTCCTGCTTTAAAAAACAAATAGGGATATAGCAGCTCGGAACGTGTTGGTCTCTGCGGTGGACTGTGTGATGCTTGGAGACTTTGGTCTGTCACGATACATGGAGGACAGCTCTTACTACAAAGGTAACGAAGCAACAATCTAAGTATCCTTAGAGTTTCTGTGTAATTTCCACATTAACAGGTGTGTAAAAAGGCTCCTGGGAATTCTATAAAATGGGGAAAAAAGAAAGTGCAATGCTGACCTGAAACCAGCCAGTAGTCTTAGTTTAAACAACATTTAGCTGCCAGTGCGTTACTACCATCTACTGGTGACATCACGTTATATCAGCTGTTCTCTGTGTTACCAACTCATTGCAGCCTTTTTGTTGAAACACTAACTGGTGATACATTTTTCTATTCTCTGCCTTAGTGCTTATCTCTGTGTCTGTGTTTGTGTCTCAGCTTCTAAAGGTAAACTTCCCATTAAGTGGATGGCTCCTGAATCTATCAATTTTAGGAGATTCACGTCTGCAAGTGATGTCTGGATGTTCGGTGAGTTTTTTTTTCTAATCCAGCGCCATCTCTTTCAGATGTGTCTGCTTTGACCACACTGTGTGATGATGTGATTCATCACTGTAGGTGACTTTTGCGTGTCTGCGTCTCCCCCATAGGTGTATGCATGTGGGAGATCTTGATGTACGGCATCAAGCCCTTCCAGGGGGTGAAAAACAATGACGTGATTGGCAGGATAGAAAACGGGGAGCGCCTGGCGATGCCTCCCCAGTGTCCGCCCACCCTCTACAGTTTGATGACCAAATGTTGGTCATATGACCCCAGCAAGCGTCCGCGATTCACTGAACTCAAAACACAACTCAGGTAAAAAATAAAAATAAAAAAGTATTAAAAATATTAATAATTTAAAAAAAATGTTTATTTAATTAATGAGGTAGTTTAAAAGTAGTTTTTAATAATTTGCTTTAGGTGTAAAACTTTGATGTTGTTGCTATAATAGAGATGGCCTCTGTCTCAATCTGACCCCATGGAGTAATTTTTCCTTGAGTTTTTCTTCTTCTTCCTTTTCATTAAGTTTAATTAGTACTAAAAACATGACATTGTTGGTTGTGATTTCTCTAAAAATCTTTGACTTTCAGTACATTGGTCAAGATGAAATAGTGCACTAAACCAAAAGAGTGCATGACTGCGCGATTCAATTTTCTCTCTGCCAATATTTTCATTTCTGAAGCACGATACTGGAGGAAGAGAAGCTCCAGCAAGAAGAGAGACTCCGAATGGAAATGAGGAGACAAGTCACCGTTTCATGGGACCCAGATGAAGCACCACCTAAAGTAAGAATCAATGACTGTTTGTGCTCGATCTGCCTTTTTGAAATCATTTGTTTCCCATCCTCCCATGTCCTTGTTATTTCTTGTATGTCTGTGCAAGTCTTTGTTGTGGCTGATTAACACAAATGGGTTTTCTCTGTGTTTGTAGCCTAGCAGACCAGGTTACCCCAGTGAAGGCTTCGTCAGCAACTCCCCGCACAACCACTTCCCGGTAAACAGCACACAGAAGCACACAGATCTTCATCAGTGAGGAACCTGTGCGTTCCTGTTCTGCCTTATTCAGATTCAGCTGTCCTGGGAAGCACTACAGAGATAGATAGTGAGCTAGATGCTGTAAGACCTAATGTGGACAATGACAGTCCATTAATATATAAACCACTCCTTGTTAATGACTGACATCTATGCAGTCTGATATACTCTGCCATTATCTTAAACTGTGGTGAGCATAGTTTCATTGCATCTGACGAAGGACCCACATGACATTTTACATCATCTGCAAAAAGATGGTTGAAAAAAATGGCTTTTTCCAAGCATCTGCACACAGCTGCACATGCCGTAAGCAGTTACACAATTCTGTTGTTTTAAAGCTGTCCTCCCCAATTTGTGTTAAATATTTACAAAAAGCAAAACAAAAAAGAAAAGTTGCTGCCAAGACAAATCTTTGGTCACGACGGAGCAAAAAATTTGAAAGGAAAACAATTCAGTCACTAGTTTCAAAAACAAACCTGTAAATTATATTCTGTAACACTAAAACAAAACAAAAAAATCTGTAAGGTTGTACAAATCAGCTCTAAGCGTGAATGCTGTCATCACAATAAGGCCAACCCAATAAAGTCTGTGTTAAGTCTGGAGTAGCTCTGACTGTCAGGCTCACACTGAGTGCGTGCTGCATGTGTCTGAGTCAAAGAGAGACATGCAAGGACAGAAAGAGTTTGAGTGCAGTTATTCTTCTCCTCATAAACCAGGCAGACAGCAGGCATTTCCTGTAGTGCTAAAAGCCGCTTACTCGTGGACAAACACACACGGGCGCGCACACACAAACACACACTAACAAATCAAAGCCACTCTTCAGCTTCTGGCAGCAAGCTTTTCTTTGGTCCTTATAAGGAGTGCGTAATTCAAACTGCCATTTAAGCCTAACTTGATAACATCGGACTTTAGATTAGCATCTGTATATTTCTGCATGCATTGCACACTAGACTGAGGTTTAAAGTGCATTTGAAGAGATTTTAACACTTTCTGAATCCATTTGCATGCCCGTCAGTGAAATAGTTACTGTCTTTGGTAGTGGTTTTTCATAAGTATTCATTGATTTCCTAGTGTTATTCTTATGTCGGTAGATTTCTGTTTGTTTTGCCATCATCTGACTGGTTTAGAGCGTCTTTAAAAGCAGCCTTTTTGTGAAAACGTAGACGTGGAAAGTTGAATGATAATCAAAGTTTTCTCTTCTGTTATTTTATTATCTGTGAATCCTTCGTCTTTTATGTCTTTGAGTCCCCATTTTCTCATTATTTCTTTCTATTGACGTCATTCTCAGCCCTCTTTCCTACCAACACTGCTTTAGAGATAAAACTCTTAAATCTTCTAGTAACATAGAGCCAGATGTTGCAAAAGAGGAAGAACTTTACACTGCTTGTTTGTTCATAAATATTTTTGACTGTTTTCTTTGTCTGTTTTTCTTTTCCACTTTCAATCTGTCCTCCTCCAGCAATCAGCCCATGGTGGTGTAGGTGGAGGAGTTGGAGGCAGCTATCCTTCTACTGATTCCTGGAATCCGCACAGACCTGAACATACTGCACCGTGGAGCCCGAATATGGAGGTGTGCACCCACAAATGCATTTGACACAGAACTTTCACCAGTCAAACATGGATTTGTGTAACATCTCAGCCACTCACTGAACCCACTGCCGTAACTGTTGAATTTTTGCCTCATATCAAACACAGAAAACACATAGTGGTTAAAGCAAATTAAAGCAATACAAGTTAAAGCAGTTATGACCTGCATATGTGTTTTGTTTGGTTGCCAGGTGAAGCTAAAATTAAATCTCAAGATTTGTATCTGTGTGTTTGTGTGTGTGTAATTTACTTTTCATTTTAGGCAACCTGGGCTGGTTACAGCACAGTAGTGCGGGACATGCACTTGAATTTTTCTGCAGTTTCTTTTCCAAGCAGACCAAACAAAGCGCTTCGTGCTAAGGAATCGTGTAACGGCATTTAAGAAATGTTGAACTACTGTCTTGCAAGCAGTTTTTATCAAACTATGAGCAGTCATGTATGGGGGAAATAAGAGGTTTTGACAGGACTCTTGATGTAAAATGTTAAAGTTCATGACAGTACAATTAGAAAAAAAGGATTGTTTGGAAGGATTTCCAGGAAAAGGCCTATTCTCTTTAAAAAGAAGATTGCATCTGAACAGTCCATAGTTATGGAACAATGTCCTTTAGACAGCCTAAAGTGGATGTTATGTTTGGGCCATAATACATCAGAACTTTTTTTTTTTTTTTGCAGTTACAGGATCTGGGCAACTTGCCGAACTCCTCTGTAAAACAAAGTATTCTGTGAGGCTACCTGTCCGTCATTAAACCGGACAATAATCCCAAGCACAACAGCAAATCTTTGTAAGAAAGAACGAAAAACAAGTTCCAATGCCCAAGTCAATGTCCAGACTTTGAAATTTGAAATGCTGTGGTGGGACCTTAAGAGAGCTGTGAATAAACAAATTCCCTTAAAGCCCAATGAACTGAGGAAAGTCGTACAGAAAATGCTTATTACAAGTTATTGCAGCTAAAGTAGGTTCTACAAGCTACTGAATAATGGGGTGTGCTTAGTTTTTCCACAGGACTGTTAAGAGTCCTGTGGAAACGTCTTTCTTTCACAGGACTAGTCAGATTAAGGCCATTACTTTGGCACAGTTTGATTAATTGTAATCATTAAATCACGATAAGCAAGATTTATTCCTTCACTGCTACGTCTTGATAACAAGGCACACCTAAGGACCTTTTTCCTCTCTCTCTCTGTTTCTACAGGACATTGGGTGTGTAGGTCAGGCTCTGATGGAGGAAAGGCTGATGATGCAGCAGCAACAGATGGAGGATGACCAGCGGTGGCTGGAGCAGGAGGAAAGCTTCATGGTAATTAAATTATACAGACTCATAGTGGCTGCATTTAAATAGTCCCTCCTATTTTAGCTTTCCACATTGCCACTAGTGTTTTTTTTCTTTGTCACATCCATAGTGAAGATTAGGAATCCAAAGCAAAATAAACTGGGGTAAGCAGGGCTTCAGTTGCCCCTTAAGTCAGCTAACCAAACCAGCATTATTTGTCTCTTTTCAGTATTAACACATGTGGCTTATTTATACTTTAAAAAGCAAACAAAAGACACAAATAAATTCAATTACATTTTATTTATATAGCACCTAATCGCAACAACAGTTGCCTCAGGGCACTTTATATTGTAAGGTAAGACTACAACAATACAAAGAAAACAGAGAAATCCCCAACAAGCCGCTATTAGCAAGTGCTTTGGTGACAGTGGGAAGGAAAAACCTGCAGCAGCATCAGGGACAAGGAGGGGCGGCCAGCTCCCACGACCAATTGGGGGTGAGCGACTGAAGAGAGGACAAAAACATGCTGTGGAAGAGATGAATAATAACTGATAATTAAATGCAGAGCGGTGTATAAACACAGAGTGAAAAAGGTAACTGAAGAAGAAACATTCAATGCATCATGGGAATCCCTAAACTAATGAAGAAATCAAGGTCACTTGATTCAACCCTGACTATGTGGTTTATCAAAAAGGAAAGTTTTAAGCCTTATCTTAAAAGTAGCAATAGTATCTGTCTCCCGAATCCAAACTGGAAGCTGGTTCCACAGAAGAGGGGCCTGACAGCTGAAGACTCTGCCTCCCATTCTCTAAATCCTCTAGGAATCACAAGTAAGCCTGCAGTCAGAGAGTGGAGAGCTCTAATGGGCTGATACGGTACTATAAGGTCATTAAGATAAGATGGGACCTGAGTATTCACCTGATTATTCAAGACCTTGTGAAGAGCATGTGAGGAGCAGGATTTTAAATTTAATTCTGATTTAACAGGGAGCCAATGAAGAGATGCCAGCATAGGACATATCTGCTCTCTTCCTTGTCACTGTCAGTACTCTTGCTGCAGATAAAATAAAGGCATATTTTACAACAGCAAATCATTATGATCAATCCAAATAAATACTGTATGAAGATGTAAATATAAAATTAGTGAGAGATTTTTTCCCACTTGGTAAACCCTCTTCATGTCCACTGTTGTTGCCAGACAAGCTGCAGAATGTCTTTTTCAGATCTTTGAACTGGCTCAGTTGTGCATGCTTGATTTATCTCATCAGACACTGAGAAATCCCCAAAAAGGAGCCAAAATACTGCTTTTGCAAAACAAGTCTGTTTTTCTCCTCTGCTCAGGTCAGATTGTTTCTCTGCTTGTCTCGGTGGCCTGTTTTTCAATTTTAAGCCAAATGTTGGAGAGCTGAAAGGCAGTGAAAAAAATCAAGCATGAGTAATGAGTGCTGGGGAGTTCCTGGGTCGGCCCGTCATGTTTAACATGATTTCCTGTTCTACTGCTTCATAGACCAGGAAATCTGTCAGGGCAGATATGACGGGCTGAATTACTGATATCATGTTTGTTAGCTGACACCAGGGGTGTTGTTTTGTTTTTTGTTTTTTTTTCTGGATACTTTATATACCTCGCTGCACAAACCTTGAGGACCTTGGACCCCTGGGGAAATTAACACCCAGATTAATGGCAAAAGGGGCGGACCTGAGTGGCACCTTTTAACCTTTGCACTTTATGACTTGTTTCTCACTCATGTAATTAGTGGACAGGTTTGGATGTACCACCTGAATCACAGCCACCTCAAACATTTTTTCAATAAAAGCTTTAACAGCCACGTTTTCAAAATCTCATAAAGGGACTGACTGGCACTCACTACCCAGGGCATGGATGTAAAAAACAAAATTGCTCCCTACAGAGTCTCTGCTGAGCTGAAGCTAATCTGATAGTATCGTGGCTCCAGCAGCTGAAAATGTAACAATAGACATAGATTTAATTGCAAGGTAGCGTGCTGTAGATTAAAACCCACTGTCCACAGGATTTGTGTCAGCTGCAGGGTCAGTCATTGAGCAGGTAGTATTACAAAGCCTATTTGAAGTCTAGTTAAATTAATATTCTGACGTGTATGCTGCTGTGTCCCTGCCAGGAATGCGATAAAAAAACGTTCACATGATATTCTCAGCAGATTAATAGTAGTGAAACTGTTATAAATTTCACATTAAAACCAAATGTGTGTTTGAGCTCTTTAGAAGTGCCTCGTGCTATCTGTTTTTCTTTCTTGGGAGCTGACCTTCATAATATTTGCTGGTGCAGATTGAAATCCGTTTTTAAACCTAGTCTTTTGCAGGTGTAGTTTAAATGCTTGCCTCTAATTAGCAACGCATTCCTGCACAGAGTGCATGTGATCAGTGATGTGTTGACTTCTGGTCTAAAGTCTGAACCTTAATCCCCAGTGGCAGCTGTTGTGGCCGTTACTCTTGCCTAAAATCATTCTTGAAACATGTTCAGCTGGAGAAGTCAAGTGAAAGCTGCTGTTGTACGTTTGAAAGAGGCAAGTGGAATTTTTGCTGCGAGGGAAAACGAGCGCTGGATTCGGGATATGCAGGCTAAGTTAATGTAGAATATGTGCTGGAAAATTACAGAAGTAATAAAAGAGTGGAGTGCTTAAGGCAAAACAGGCAAGTGAATTTGATGTGTGAGTTCAGGCTCATCAGGAGAGTGGAAGAAGGGGAAGAGAAAAGCAAAGAGAGGAGGACAGAGGGAGGGAGAAAGGAAGTGGGATTGGCAAGAGCGAGGGAGAGGGAGGAATGAACGAGGAGTCGCCCGTCAGAAAGAAGGAGCGAGAGAGGGAGAGAAACAGGAGGAGATCCAGAGAGATGGAAAGAGTGGGAGGGAGAAAAAGAGAGGACAGTGAGGCAGTTGGATCTTTTTCCCTTTAGGATTTAGTCTCTGTGCCCAGCGGAGCTTTTCTTCCTCTGGAAAAACTTTTTCTCCTGCCTTTTCCTTCTCATCCAGTCGCCTCTGACTCAGCTTTTCTCTCTGTCTTTTGCAAACTTCTGCATTTCTTTGTGCCGTCTACCGTCAGTTTCTCTATGACTTGAGCTGCTCCATCTTTTATCGCCCCTTCTATTAAACTTTCGGTCCTTATCCCCGCCCTTCTTTCGATGGCCTCCACTCTCTGCATTCCTCCGCCTGACTTCATCAACCTATATTCTCCCAGGATGCATCTCTTCAAGGCGTGCTTCACCAAAACGGTACTGGAACAGAAAGCGAGGGGATGCTGGAACTATTCAGTCATGTAGTGATCTCTTTGTGAGCAGGGCTGTATTTGTGTATTGCTCCTCTTTAATAAGCTGCTGCTGATTTTTATTTATTTACTTTTTTTGATTGTCGCTGCTAATATTTTAATTTTGCAAAATCAGTTTTGCTTTTAAATTGTGATGCTTGGTTAGGAAATGAAAGGATTTTGCAGCAGTTTTTATGATTTACAAACAAAATGTTACATATTTTATTCTTTTGCTGCAATGCCTGGTACAATGTGCATATATTTCTGTATAAAACATATATATTTATGGCTTTTATATTTAATCCTTTCTAATCCATTGTATGTCTGTGTCTCCCTGCAGAAGGCGGAGTCCAGAAACAGCAGAGGGAGCGTCGACAGGGAGGACGGCACACTACAAGCACCGGTCAGTCTATGTGTGCGTGTGTGTGTGTGCTTTGACATTTTAAAATTGGATTCACTTGTGGTTTTGTTGAGCTGTGGAGCATGGTTGGACAAATGCTTGTGGTGCTAAGAAAAACGTAATAGAGAGGTAGCAGAGAGATGATTATAAAAAAGGGGAAAAAGCAGAGAAAAGCTTAAAGAAAGAGAACCAGAGTGAGGCAGAGGGGAACGCGTTCAGACAAACGGAGAGGAAATGCAGATGGCGGGAGAAGAGAAAGTATTTCAGTCTGTGAGCCATGAAGGGCACTGCCTACATACCGACCACTTGACCACAGAGGACACATGGGAACTTTAAAGGCAGAAGAACTGGACGTTAACTGTACACAAGGGTTATAATAGCCTGTAGCTTAGGCAAAAATGAGGACATTGCTGGTGATTCTTCTCAGCATGCGATGGCAGCTTCCAACTTTCTGTCTTATATTTAGCTTGTTTATATTTGTGAATGTTACATTTATTGTTTCTGTGAGATTTATTCCCCTAAATAGAAGATTGGTCAATGTGGATGAGAATTTATTGATACTAGACTTA